CCGCAAATGGCGGAACAGTTAAGGCCAAGTCTCCTTAGCTTCACAACCTTTCGTATAATTACAAAAGATTGTGTTTAATAAGACATCAGGAGCAGGTGGCAATAGAGTTTGTATTGGCTGTAAATATTCGTCGGTCATAGTCCATCCCTAATCTAATGGATTCAAATTCTTTCCAAGCCATTTCTGGACTTAATAATACAAACGACATAAATGTACTTCAGCTGCACTCGATGTTGTCGAACATTTATAGGAGGATAATTATGGATATTCGTGGGTGTCGATTGTATATCTTCACGAATAATGGGTGCAGCGGCCTCTACAATTCTAAAACGTTCCTCTTTCTCATCAGATTTACGATTGTCATACAAGGTTTTGTTCAACATATCATGACGAACATCTGAGAAACAAATGATCGTTGAACCTCGACACTTTGTTTTAATGCCGATTTTTTTACCGTACTTTTCAACAAGTTTTGTTTTTACAGTAAAATCATCAGGTACAAAATCAGTACATACCTTTTTAATTCCGATAAAGTGAACTGACAGTCATCATTATTTTCAATGTAATTATATATTTTCTCCATTGCCAAAGAGGTGTTGATATCTTGAGGTCTCTCATGCCTTTGGGCAGTTAAATGTCGCGCAATAGAGACGTAGCAATCACCGCGGAGGGCTAGCGGCCGAGGTGCTGGGTTCAGCATCTCGCTGCCCTTTTAGCAGCGGTAATGCTACTTGCACGAGTATATTCTTTGCGACACACCACGTGCACTCTGATCGATTCAACACTCGGCAAAAATGTGATCTTTCCATCATTTCGCTCGATGCTGGCGGCACGTAATGTTTTAATACTGCGCTCGACGCAAATGATGCAATTTTCAATTTATATGTCTGGAATTATCCGACGCGTCTGTATACAACTGAGTATAGCAGAATAATACTGGTCTGAAGACTGGTTAAAGGACGTCAATGCTTCACAGTCAGGTATACAGTGACGTACATTCTAACGCACAGAAAAAGGGCCAGCTGTGCTCCAGGTCACAAGACGGGACACTTATAGAGCTATACCACACACATTCAAAAAGAAAACGATGTCAAGATACGGTTTGACATGAAATTTTTGATTTTTGTCAATTACAACACTAAGGCAATTTTCTGTAAATTGGCGCTCTCTACGAAAAAAAAAACGCATAGAACTTTCTTCGTGGAGAATTGTATTCTGAACAAAAAAGGTAACAGCTCATTTTATCGTGGGGCTGATATTTTCGAAGATGTATGGAAAATAATGTTTTTTTTGTGACCTTTGACCCCCCATAAAAAAGCTCCACTTGGATTCATGGGGACTTTTGAGGAATGATTTATAATACTGAAAAGAAGCTCTGGTAAAAAAACTCAGCCAGGTGGGATGTTTGGAGCAGATTATCCTTCTTTTCGTCAGTTTTGGGAATGTTATCTTTTATTTATTCAGAGGATGATATCAAACTAGTAATTTTTTAAAATATTTCAAAAGTCTCCGATTCTGAAGAAATCCCTATTATTTTAGAACAATATGATTCAGGCACAAAAGATAAACGTCGAGGTATTAACGAAACTATCCGCACAATTCGTACCAAGTATAATCGACCTGGACTAACGAAAGATGCAGAAAGATTTATCAAAAACTGTGAAACTTTTCAAAAGGTGAAAATTTGTAGGAAAAATCTTAGTACGCCCCTTGTAGTTTTTCTGAAATTCCAGAAACTCCTTTTGAGAGAATTAATTTAGATATATTAGATAGATATATAGAAGTCGATAGAAATTATTGTCTCACTACCCGAGACGAACATTCTAAATATACGCAGGCATTACTGATAATTCAGCAAAATCTGTCGTCAACACACTCCTACTGTATTTTGAACCCTATGGAACACCTTTGAGACTTCATTGTGATTGCCGTAGAGAATCCGATAACGCTTTACAGAGAGTTCTTTGCTTATTGCATGATAATTATCGTTTTCAAGTGTTGGACACCCACAATCAAATGGATCAGTGGAACGTTTTCAAGCTACACTTTTAGAAATGATACGCGCACATATGCACGATCATCCAAATGAACATCCGTTCAATATTTTGCCGTACGCACTTATTTGCTACAATAGTGCGAAAAATGAAACAACTGGATTCTTGCCATACGAATTACGTTATATAATGAAAACATCCTTATGACTAAGTGTGTTAGAAATTTATGGAATACGATTAACTATTATTATAAACTCGCACGAGAAAGAATTGTTTAAGAGAAGTAAAAAGCAAAAGCGCGTTTTGACTAGCATGTTTCAAAGAAACAACCGGAATACAAAATGGAGATAAAGTCTATGTTAAAGAACATCAAATTAAAGGACAATTAGGAAACAAATTTAATGACCCCTTTGAAATCAAAGAAATTTTTGGTAGGTACTTCAGCGACCTTTTTGAACTTAGACACAAATCAAAAAACGAAAGCTAAAGCCATATTTTGAAACTTAGTCGTGTTGCAGACTTTTTCTGTTGCTTGATACAACATACGCACAACACTTCAAAGAGACCGTGAACAATACTGTAGGAATATTTTACAGTGAGGAAGGAATAATAGAATGTCAGCTTTTAGAGCTCAAGTATAAACTCATTTCAGTCTTCTCACTCAATTGCCAAATCCATTCAGTCAAAAATTTGAATCAACATTTGCAGAAGCTCAATCTATTAGTAGAATGAAAAGAGGCCTAATTAATGGAAAAGGCACTTTTTGGGAAGCTATTACTGGAAATTTGGATACTGATGATGGAGAATATTACAGCAATTGCATAAATAAATTATCTGAAGGTGAACATCAATTGGAAAATTTGATGAAATATCAAAATATGGTTACTACTTCAGTAATCAGAAATTTTAATAATACTATTAAGAAAATACAAATAGATGAACAAAACTTTCAACTCAGATTTAGCATTTCATGAGGCACGTCTTGAATTTTTGGAAATGTGCCAAGCAATAATGGAAAGTTATCTATTCTTATTGCATATTATGTACACACTTCTATTATCACGCCACAAGACTTAATTCGTTCACTTCAAGATATTTCACATCATCTTGTTAAAAATGACTTACCTTTACCAGTCTGTCTTGCACAAGTTACCATTTACTCAGAGCTTATTGAACTTGAAGCCTTTCAAACCGAATCTAAAGCATATAAATCATATACTGTATTCAAAATTTATCCTTTGCCTGTGCCTGATAATCAAACTGAACTTGACATCCCAAAGGTATATTGCAAGAAGTGATGATTCATTCTTGTTCTTATCCCTTCGTAATCCGGAGAAATGCAAGAATCATTCACCATAGACCAAGCTCTGTTACGAAGTTTTACCATACCCAGTAGACAAAAATGCAATCTGTGAGGTCCAGTTATTGCGTCTTCCTGCTCAATTAGCTAAACAGCTAAATAAGTTGAATCTAGAAGAACTCGAAGTAGCCCACCACCATTTCACCAAGATCGCAGAAGAACTTGATAAACTAATTAATGAGACCTTTATCTCAAAACATAGGTTATGGTTCACTTATACTATTGTGTTAATTTCAATAATTTTGATCATTTACGTAATATGCAAATGTAGAAGAAGAAAACCCGTTCGACTTAGTATTGGCGCAGCATACCCTGATGATTGTCCAAGCCCTCAGGGTAGTTTCCTGAAAAATTATCCAAGATTCTCCCCTTCATTTCGATTTTTGAATGTTTATATTAAAGCATTTTACTATGCTTACATTTTTAATTACTTTTGATTTTTGAACTTTACTATTTCACACTTTTACAATTTCCAATTTTTGATTTTTTTTTAGCCTAAAAAAGTTTCGCATGGCAACAACTTTTTGTTGTAGAGGGAGATTGTTATATGTTCTTTTGTCCTGTACAATGTAATACAACAGTTTCCTGTTTACCTATTGTTCATTGTACGCCTACAACGTATCTTCAGCAGAAAGCCACGTGTGCCTAAGCCTAGATGCTTTGTAAGCATAACCTAGAATATAAATAGCCTGTCATATTGTTCATAACCTGATTACTCAGCACGATACCCTAATGTACGCATACTCGTAGTAAAATTACTCATTGTAAATAAGTTTGTAATCAAGTATCGAGACTCAGCGGAGTTCCTCGAATAAAGTTTTTAAAAACATTTGTGAAGCTTCAATGCTATCACAAATTGGTGTCAGAAGTGGGATATAACATACATAATCCAAATTATGTAAAATAATTGTTTCCCGCAATCTCTAAACAGAAGATTACTTCGAAGAAAATTACAAAGCTGCTGAGAAAAGTAGAAAGGGGAACGTTTTTTCATTTGAATCCCAGAGCAAAATCAAATGTTTAACACATTTATTGTGATATTTTAACTATGCTCCTTTTCTTTCGACACGCCATGTGAACTAGAGCTAGTACTACTACTGCTATGAAACGTATATTTCCAGATACGATACAATGACACAATTCTTTTTGTTTTTTCCTTTGTTTACTTCTGATAACAAGATCTAAATGCTAATCTGTCTTTATTAGTCATGTTTGAAATGTTCTGGCGGAAGATTTGCAATATCATTTGTTAAGCATTTGGTTTTCACCTATTTGTATGTTATTGGTGGTGGTATCTCCTTGCATATGGGTGTTCTTTCTTCTTCATGCACGCATGACACTGTTTGATCATCACTTCACTCTACCTATATACCGAATTTATATTATGTTCTCATTTTTTTACTTAACATCATTTTAATTTTTCCATTAAATTGAAAAGCATACATATCAAAGCAGCATATGACTTTGACCGAAAGAAGTTTCAAGAATTTGATAAATCGTTTGTGAAATATAAATCTATTGTACTTTGAAACGTCTTAATTTTTTTAATGTATTTATATGTTGCAGCGAATCAGCAGGCTCGTCAAGTACACTGGATAAGAATGAGAAAATAAAGTAGATCCCTACTTACGTTATTTTTCTTAAAGATGTATGTATAGATCGAGAGCTGCAATTTTGTATCAAAAAAAGTCCAAATAACAATGCTATCATTTCGAATGGTAACAAGCTAACTACAACTATTTCATAGCGGTACCGACAGCTGAAGAATCAAGGTCATTGAAAATGTTCCTTCTGTAGTTGCTACTAACTGTCGCATTTATAAATATATAATTATATTTCAGTGTCCACTACGAAGATATTTACAAGGAAGTACGCCTCTGGTGTAGGGTATGTGACACATTTCAAACAGTCAAACGTTCAGAATGCTGCCTCCCCGTTTCCCCTTCGCCTATGTCCTCATTCGTTTTCTACAGGGACCTGGATCGTCTTATGGGCGAACTGCCACCATCAGAGTCATCTTCTCCAGGCAAAATCGAGGAAACTGCATTACCGGCATCACGTAACATGCTGCTAACCGAGATTGTCTATCTTTATCTAAATGGAAAAATATCAAATATGGCGTTTGTTTTGGTTAATATCCATATTATCAATGCTGATGCTTTCGGACTTATTTCGTTAAAAATGAGTATAAAACATAAAGCAACACTATCAGTAGCTGTGACGGCATACGTGAGATGTATTGTGACTATTGCGGGAGATGCAGAAATTCAGGGGACTCCGTCATAAGTCATGAAGTGCTACAGGTAGGCTGTGAATTTAACAAATCGGCATGATGTAGTTGGCAGATTATTTAAAATTGGATGCCTGGATTCAGCTTCTTCATAATCCTTTTACTTGGCACCGGTATATAAAGTACGTAAGTTTTTTTGTATTAAGTAAGACACTTCAATATCGTAGTAAGCACTAAGCTTTATAAAGCAAAACTCTGCCCGTCTAGGCCAATAAATTAATGGCATAGAACTAGTTAAAAGTGAATAGGTTGTTTACAAGTGTTTTCTGTATTGTTTCAGAGTTATCAAGACGCAATGAAGTGAGACACCTGCGTTTTGCAACGCACAACATGAATTTGGAATAAATCTATCTATATTTTCAAATACAATAAAATCTTTGTACCATTGTCAACAGCATATGATTATTTTTTGAAACTGAATATGCATTGCGCTTCATAATTAGTGTTGTATTTTATTATATATTATGACATACCTTCAATATCGGAAATATCATTTTCAGCAGATTTCAAATTATGAACAAACGAAATCCCAGGCACATTTCTAGCATTCCTTATTCCAGGCGTATCCTTTCGATAGTTCCTCCAGATCTCCAAGCAAGTAGGCGGCGCAACTATCTAACAAACGTCAACGGTCATCGTTTAACCTGCAGCTCCCACTTCTTCAGTCTGTTTTGTGGTTTTCTAGTGTGTGGTGTAGGGGGGTGAAACTCATATGGGCGAATGGGAAACAAAACACTGTTGCTGGTGTACAATATGACAATCATGTCGCACCCTCAAAAAATGGCGGATTATTCGCAACTGACGTTGTCTGATTGGTCAGATTTAAATTTCCGGCGGTTTTCTTCCTGTGCTTGTGCTGTGCTTTGCAAAAATAACCTTACTTTTTTCACCATGTCATTTTCGTAACATTTCACTTTACATCAATTAAGTCCCTATTATGCTATTTCACACATATGCCCTTTGTTCAGAGTTGTGAACTATACAAATGTAAGTACACAAAGCTGTAATGTACAGGGTGCCCAACTAGCAAAGTAGTGGTATAAGCTTTTGGTAAAAGTACTGTTCAGCCATAAAAGCTCTCTATTGTTGTTGCCTGAACACCAAAATGCTGGCTTAATGTTGTGTGGAATGCAAATTTGCTTTCTGCAACATATTTGCTCTAAAATGAGGTGTTTAAGATATTCTTATAGTATAGTTATCCAACACCTTATAGGGCAAATTTTTATGTGTTGCATAAACGTTTATACAACTATTTTATACGGCATATTTGCACGTTAGTCAAAATGGTTGTGTTATGGCATCCATTGTAACTTTTATAAAACAAACCCGAGCCTTGTTATTTTGCTGTGCAATTTACTACTTTAGCCAACAAATTGCTCCCAACTGTTGTTTAGTAACTGTTAAAGGCTGTACATAGGCTAAATATGTTGGCATACAAATTCACCATAAGCTAACTTTCTGCTGTCATATTTTTGTTAAAATGCCATAACCAATGTTTTAAGACAAACAACGCATGCATATTGGTTCAAAAGGTTTTATCAACTGTTCAAACAGAAGATATAGATCTGGTACACATTCTGGGTAAATCATTCGACTCTGTCGGTATTTCATTTCAGTTATTTGTCAAATTGTTGTATAACACCAAAATATTCTAATAAACCAAAGACAACATGGACGATGCCATGATTATACATAACCACCCGCCATATTGGGCAAACATTTATTTCTCTACTTAGTATTAAATAATTATGTTTCAGTTCGAAATTACAGATATAAAGTGATAAACATTAGTGTAAATGTGTCTAAATATAGGATTTGTGAAAGGTTTAACGCAGATAAGTTCAGTTTTCCATCTTAAAAATCTAGACATACTTTTGATCATTATTAAAATATGAATCAAATACGAAGCCCATAGAAATTGCGAAACTACTTTGCCCGATAATCACAATAAAATTTGCTGCGCAAGTAATTCAATAGCCCTATATCACAGTGTAGAAGTTTATCATATGTGTATGAAATTCACAATGGCCGATATGTAAGTAAACAAGATGACTGTAATGTGTTAGTTATATATCCTTCACTTCGTCTATACACTACATAAGAAAGATTTTGGTTGCAATAAAGTAGAATCACGTAACAGAATAGTTGTATAGTTGACAAAAACTGAATCTTGCACTAACGCAAATGTCCTATAGCGGCTGTAAGAGGCTTACACTTTTGTTGTATAACTGTTACCTGCAGCCCTTATACAACCTCGTAAATGACTACGAAGCCCATAGAAATTGCGAAACTACTTTGCCCGATAATCACAATAAAATTTGCTGCGCAAGTAATTCAATAGCCCTATATCAAAATGTAGAAGTTTATCATATACCTGTGTATGAAATTCACAATGGCCGATATGTAAGTAAACAAGATGACTGTAATGTGTTAGTTATATACTCTTCACTTCGTCTATACAATACATAGGAAATAGTTTGGTTGCAATAAAGTAGAATCACGTAAGAGAATAGTTGTATAGTTGACAAAAACTGAATCTTGTACTGACGCAAATGTCCTGTAGCGGCTGCAAGAGGCTTACACTTTTGTTGGATAACTGTTACCTGCAGCCCTTATACAACCTTTTAAATGACTGAAGTGTCCTATTAGGTGTGCCCATTCCGCTTGTATAACTGTTCTAAGAGGGTTTTGCCAATGTTCTTACAGTATACAATGCTGTGTAATGAATACTGTATAATCATTCTTGCAACTCTAATAGGAGTGATAATTGTTAGTTGGGTGGTCCATCCATGCGTGGACGGAATGTTACTCATAAACAAATACATTATGGAAAAATCTATTTATGACATGTTATACATGACATGGCAATTATACAGTTTGTCCCAACTTTGACCCACATATCAAAGTTGTGATTTTTCAAATGGAATGCCTCAAATTTTATTGCATATTTGGATAAACCAATTCAAAAGAAGTAAATTAATATAACAAATTATGCGGTTTTGGTAATGACCGTTGCACATTCCTCAGCATGTGTTCCCTTATGTTCAGAAAAGCATCCTTGTTTACACTTGACTTGAAGTATGACATGGCTTGAACAAAGTTAAATCGTAACATTAACTGATTAGGTAATTTGGAATTAAAATAAAAATTAAATATTTTGAGTGTAACGTTTGATAAAAAATTGAGATTCATTCCACCTGCAACAGCATTATTTAAAAATCACGTTCAAAATTTTCTATGTGAATAAATATGTACTGATTGCTAACGTTAAAACAGCTTCATGTGAATCATTGGTTTTATATCTGTGGTACATTACTCTGATATCTTATATTACAGTTGCTTGGACTGTGATAAAGATGCGATAAGTTCAAAATCGCTGATGTAGATTTGTTTATGGACTAAACAATATGATCATATATCAGCAACGATGAAATAAAATCCGGTCGTCTTCTATCCGAAACCAATTCAAAATCGATGTCCCCTTCGTCGTCACTACTCATCCCGATGAAAAATGTCGAATCATTACCTTTTTTTTGTAAACACGACACACACGTTCAATCACTATCCAAGCAAGAAGGTTTGGAGTTTAGGCTTAGAAGAAATCAGCTGATAGTAGCTCTTCTGGGCATGTAAGTTCCTCCCTCTATTCGTCATTGTCTGTCAGAGCGGCCCGTAGGACCTTTGCTCTTGGTTGAAGTCTTGTAAGTCAGTAGGTCTGTCAGGACTGGTTGCCCAGATACCAAACAAAATCAGGGAGAAAGAAGGGAAGAAGAAAGGAAGGAAGGAAGGAGAGCAAAGAAAAAGGAGTGCGTCAATTTGAGGGGTGCCTTGGCATTGCTAATTAGTATTCGGCAATTTTGAATTGATCCTAAAATTAATTTGGAATTGGTTATTGGTGTACAACATGTAACGGAGAAATTTCGTTTCTCCTCTTCAGAGCCCTAAAACTATTTAAATCGTTGATTCCGCTGCTGGTCCACCCATTTTTTTCTGTATAAAACTGAAGACATCGCCAACAATACAATCTTTTTCTTTGCAACCACATAAACAAGAGTTTCCTTATACCAACTTAATTTAAAATATCAAACTACGTTTTTTATTCCTTTTTAAAATTATCTAAAATAGGTGCTGCTCTTATATTTTCAATGATCTCCTTTTTTTCTTAAAAATTATACACGGAGAATGACTTTTCAAGTAGTTGATCGATTACGCAGCGACACTCATCCATCTTTAATTGCACGCACACTACAGTCGGCAACCAAAACGGCTACTAACGAGTGAGAAGTCTCGCATTCGGGCGGCCGCGATCAGACACGAGCCGGTACCGGCGGTCCCCGACGGACTATTAAGCGTATCCATAAA